AACACCAACTATATACATGCCAGCCGTCTAAAACTACATAGCACAACAATGCTTTTGCTTTCCTTCTCCATTCGTTGATGTGCACCACGTTCTAGCAGCAGCAAATGAAGTGCAGGAGGAATCCGACTCACAGAACTTCGGCGCTTCAACTCAACGTCAACATGAGGGAAAGTGGAGTGGAAGAGTCATCCGTACTTTTTCTTTTCATTTCTAGATATCCTCCGCGCCAGTCGTAGGCACAGTCAGCGCAAGCAACCCTTTCACGTTGTGCAGTAGCTTTTCCACCAAGTCCGCAATCTGACTGGCGCTACTGCTCGCCTCGGTCGCAAACTCCTCTTCTGCCTCTGCCGCTCCTCCCGCACCGTCTCTCCCTGATGCAGCCCGCAACTGTTTCCGCAGCCGCTGCCTTTCCAGCGCCGCTGCCGCCGCTATCGTCTCGTCCTTCGTGTAGCGTGCCGTGTAAGACAGCATCATCTGCAGCAGCTCCGGCTCCTCCACCACCCGGCACGGCGAGGCGGCCGTCAAGTTCAGCAGGATGCCACAACAGTTGTAGACAATGCGCAGGTCCTCGTGGCCGAGGAAGATGACGACGACCTCGTCGCAGCGATTTGCCTCCATCCAGTCACGGCCGGCGTTCGTGTAGCTGATGTTGCCCAAGATGCGGGTGGCCTCCACCGTCGCCTCCACGCTGTCTTCGAACAAGTACGCAGCCAAGGAGAAGCAGAGTGCGCTGCAGATGGTCGGCAGCCACTCCGCGTGCGCCGCAACGTCTCCTTCCCCTTCGACCGCGACCGCCTCGGCCAGCAGCTCAAAGCGGTTAAAAAAGTAGGAGAGGTTGCTCAGACACATGAGAACGTAAATCGCCGTCGTCTGCGTGGCAGGCAGCTCCCGCAGTCGCTGCAGCAGACTGACGAGAAGTGGTGTGACGTTATCGACGAGGTGCAGCGAGCATCTGGGAGACATGGCCGCAATGCCGAGCACCCATACAATGGCTTGGACGACAGGCGTGGGCGGCAGCTGCGGTGGTGCGCCGCTGTCCGCTGCAATATCGGCGGTAGTGCTCGGCCCCGCCAAGTAACGCTGGGCGAGGACTTCGAGGACGTGCGTCATGGCTGGTGTGGCGAGGTGCTCCTGCAGGGCGGCGCTGCCCTCCGCGACACGGGCCACGACACCGCACACACGCGACACGAACAGCTCAATGGACGCCTTCGTCGTCGCATCCGCGTGCAAACGCATCTGCGTGAGCAGCGCGTGCGCCGCGGCGTCCAGCAGCGTCGTCCCCATCTCTCGCATGTCGTGCAGACACTCCTCGTCGAACGTTAGCTTCACCAATGCCCGTGCGGCAGACTCCGCCGTGGCGCTGTCAGTGGACCCGACCTGCAGCATTGACACGAGGGTGTGGAGTACACCGCTGGCGCGCAGCGACGCGGCGTGAAACTGCGCCAGGAGGCGGTACAAAGAGCCAATTACGGGAAGAAGCGAAACGGTAGGCACAGACGACGCCGTTGTGACTGCTTGTTGCTCCAGAGCGTCCGCGCTGAGCTGCTGCAGGTTGCTGAGCAGACCGCGCGACAAAAGGTGCGTCGTGAGAGCCTTCAGAGCATTTAACGGTGTCGGCTGCTGCCGCTGACCTCCTTCACCGCCGTTGCCGTGTCGCAGTAGACTTAACGGGGAGCCTTGGGAGATGCGAAAGCTGCTGATGGGAGAATGAGAGCCCGGCTGACTTGGCGAGCCTGCTGCAACGCGGTGCAGGGAGGCGGTGGACGACATCAACGAAGCCGACAGCACTCGTTGCTGGCCCTGTGCTGCTTTGTCCGTGACATCATCCGCTAAGCCGTGCCCGCGAATCATGTCTTGCTCACTGTTGTTGCTCGCACTTACACCGAGACTCGACGAAGGCGATCCCGCCGCTTGACCACTCGCGCCTGTCGTACTGGCTGAAGCAGCAAGGAACGCCTCCTCGCAGCAGCACGCAAAGATGTCTAGGATCCACAGCGTCCACTGCTGACGCCTGCACGCCACGTCCACAGCGGCGGCATCGCTGCGGTGCTGTATCGTGGTAGTCAGCACGTGCAGCACCTCCATCAACACCTCCACGATGGGTGACTCCTGCGCAATCCACTCCGCCACTCCGCACTCTGCGATGGTGTGCAGAGCCGTGAGAAGGGCGTGAAAAGAAATGGGCTCCGCGACGAGCGAGGATGGCGGGTAACTGCTCAACATCACTGCTGCCGCCAGCAACGCCACCTCGGCGTAGTTCAGTGGAGTGGACGTGGTTAGCGATCGACCGAGCGGCACGCTGTCGCCGGTCAGCGTCGCGTCGAAGTTGGCGCCTTCCAGCGCGGTGTAGTTGTCGATGGCGTTGCGCAGGGCGGCACCGGTCGGCCAGTATTCGCAGAAGTGCAGTAGGGTGGCTTGCACACAGGCCGTAGCGGCCGCACCCAGCGAGTGGGGAGCGGCAGCGACGGAAGTGGCGGCAAGCCACTGCTTCAGCTGCCCAAGCAAGTTGGCACAGTCCACGAGACCCTCCTCCCCCCGCTGCTGTGCGGCCGCATACAGCTTCGCAAACGACTCCGCGTCGAAACCACCATCAGTGACGGCGGCCACGGAGCTCGACGATGTGGCCGCGGTCGCAGGTGGTGAGGCGTTGCTGCCGAGACTGTGGGCACGCACATCAATCTGCGATGACAGCCCCGTCACGGGCAGCGACACCGGAGAGGAACGCTGCAGCGGCGAGGTCGAGGAGGAGGACGCAGAATGTGCCTCCAGAAAAGCGGAGGATTGCGGTGGTGGTGGCATAGGGGCCAGCCGCCCACCCGCCGGCAGCCGTCTGCGCAGGCGTGGTTCGAGGCCATGTGGTGGCTGTCGCGGAAAGCCAGCAGCGCTCGCCGCACCTCCCTTGGCAACTCGAAAACCAGAAGCAGCGGTGGTGGTATTAGTGCCACTTAAAGCCCCGAAGGAGTCAACCGGCGTCTCTGGACGAATCGGGTCCTGCACCGCGGCGCGGGCATCGCGCAGCAGACGAACAACGCGGCTGCTGGAGCCGGACGCGACGACTCCGCCGCCGCCACTTTTGCGGCTGCTGCTGGTGCTGAAGTCTGCACTGCGCGACGGTGGTGGGGACGGCACCCGGCCCCCGTGCAGCGATGCGGTAGTTGGGGCGACGTCGGACAGAAACGGCGTCGGTGCGCACGGAACGGCCTGGTACTGCTCGGGAAGTGGCTCATACTCAGCCGCAGGACGGCGCTGTGCTGTAGTAGAAGAAGTGGAGGAGGAGGTCGGTGCTGGCCGGCGTTGAGAAGAGCTCCGACTTTTGCTAGAAGGAGCCGGGGCCGCCGCAGCGGAAGCGGAGGAGTTGCCCGGCGTGCGCCGATTTGTGGAAAGGGGCGGCTTTGTTGGCCCGCCAACTGCTGGGCTGCTGAAAAGAACTAACTGCTGCGTGTGCAGGACGGTGCGAGGCGGCACCGCAGGTCCTGGCGGCCGTCGAAGTGGCCGCTTTGGTGGCATTCCCCTCCCGAGCACGCTATGAAGGAGCTGAAATATGTGCCGGTCTGGTTGAGATGCGACACACTTTGGTACGCGTTGGTGTCGGGTGTTGAGCTTTGTTTTTTTGTGGGGGAGGGGCGTTTTATGTGGAGTTCACGCTTCGTGCGTTGATGCCCTGCGATGGAGAAAAAGCGGCAACTCTAGCGGAGTGGTGAGCGAAAGCCGGGGGAGACCACGGGCAAGACACAAGAATGAAATGAAGGCTTGACGGACGGATATTGCCGTGGTTGCTTGAAGTCCCTCCTCCCCGGGAAAGAAGGGTAAACACAATCGATCTGCACACACGTGGACATGCAAGGGCGTAAGTTGCGCCTCCACTGTACAATTCACTTAACCGTCGCAACGCCGATGCAGTGCAGTCCTCGCATGAAAAGTCCCCCCAACGGTGCATGTTCTTTCCAACGGTCCATCCATCAAAGCAACAAAAACTTCATGCGCTCTCGAGGTGGCAGCACAAAATGAGGTGTAGACAACGCACAGTAGAAAAGCAGTAGCAAAGACAGCGCAAAGGAAAGGGTCGCAACAGGCGAGGCTGTAAGCTACAAGCAAGGGTATTCATGTACTTCCGTCGTACCTCAGAGGCCCATCAACTCTGTTCAAGGGCACTCCACAGTGCCTACACACGTGTTCCACAACACACAGTCGTTATCATTGCGACAACTTCGCGTCACAGCTTGCATTGCTGTAGATACGGAGTAAATACTTATCCGTCGACGAGCCCTCCGCGCTCACGACGAGCAGATACGGAGTCTTGCCCTCGAGCTCCACCAGCGGCGTCGCGATACCGCCAAAGGAGTAGCCGTCCGAGGCACACACCAACTCCATGGAGGAGTTGTCGCGTACACGGAAGAGACTAAGATTTGTGGCGGGCGCCCTCGTCGGCTGCCCTTTTGCCTCTGCGTCTGCCATGTCCATGAGCACGAAGAGTCGGCTCGCAAAAAGGCCCCGGGTGGGCAGCACCACCTGCACCTTGCTGTTCGTGAAGAAGGGATCCTCTTTCCGTATGACGGCGCCGGGTTTCATGAGCGAGAGGCTCAGCCGCGGGGCGCCACCGCGCAGCTCACCCCGCACGAGCGTCTCATGCAGTCCATTGCCCTCCTCGGGGATCTCCGTCAGCTTATGCGGCTGCGTTGTTTCTACCATGACGTCGTACTGACCGGGTGCACCCTTGTCCCACAGCGATGGGATGAGTGTGTAGTCGCCAGCTGGCAGGACAGGCAGCAGCGTCTGCGGGGTCTGCGGGTGCCGCACCGCACTCGACCACGTCTTGACGTAGTCGCCGAGGTACGCGGCAGCCTCCAGAATGTAGTCCCGCACGTCGGCATCGGCCGGGCTGGTCAGCGTGCGCTTCGCCTGCCGGGCCAGGTAGGTCAGCCGCGGAACGAAGCTGCTGAACTGCGAGGCGCACCGCACCACGTCGGAGACGATGTCGTGCAGCAGGTCTTTTAACCGCGTTGCTGGCGCGCTGCTGGCGTTCTTGATCGCCGAGGACTTCGGGCCGAGCACCACCGTGACCGTCACCGATCTCGCACCGCTCACGCCCTCGTCTGCAGCTGGCGGGGGCGTTGCCGCCAACGACGTCCCGCCTAGGCTCGAGGCAAGCTGAAAGAGAGCAGCCACGGTGCTCTCCAGTGCGACCGCCTTCCCGTTCACGCCGAACTGCGACGCCCGCGGGGAGGCGGCGTAGCCCTTCTTCATCACATTCAGCAGCAGCACACTCACGCTGTCTGTCTCCTCAACATCGTAGACGACCAGCGACTCTGTCTTGCGGTCCTCCGTCACCACGCTCACAACCACCTTCTTCGACTGCTTCCACTTCAGCTTGCCCAAGCTGCGGTAGCGATCGTAGCAGACGCAGAAAGGCATGGCGCTGTCCACCACGGCCCCTCCAAAGGCGTAGCGTGCGCTCTCCAAGACCAACTCCCCCTCCTTCGCACCGTTGCCCACGCGGCCGTCGAAACGGATGAGTTTGCGCGCCTTCGCCGCGTCCACGCCACTGCCGTTATCGCCGCTACCGCGGGGCCGCACGAGCTGAATCGCGCAGGAGCTCTCCGTCCCACTCACGGCCAGCCGCAGCGAGACGTGCGAGGGCTGCTCTAGGTGCAGGCGGTACTGCGGATTGAAGACGTAGGTCGCGGCGTCGGTGCGACCACCGCACGTCTTGCCCTTCACCCACGCACCCGTCAGCCGACTCGTGTACTTGAGCGCCGAGGCGGGGATCATGTGCATGTAGACGCCGGCGTTGGGGTTGCCCGCCGTCGCATTCGCCGATGCCAGCAGCGAGTTCGCGTCCTCGGTGGCGCTTCCGTAGTTAGCCTGGAGACGAGGCAGCCGCATCTGCTCCAGCTCGGTGTGCAGCGTCACAGTAAAGTTGAAGGGCTGCTGCACCCTCGAGGAGGTGCGGGAGACCACCACCACCAAATTACTCGACCCAGCCGGGCAATCAAAGCTGAAGGTGCGCGCAGAGGAAGAGCGATAGATGACATCGTTTAACGGCTCCACGCCGCCCTCGAAGTCCGCATTGGAGGCCAGTCGGCGGCAGTAGCACATCTCCAGCGAGCACTTCCCGCCGAGGTGCTGTGCCACGGAGGGGTAGTCCGTCACGTCGTACACCTTCAACGCGAGGTACGGCGTTGACTCATCGTCCTTGTCGTACTGCCGACCAAATTCCGTCACATCCGTGATGTGGCGGGAGAGAATTAAATGCATGCGCGTCCGCTTCGGCGCGTCCACCACGCCAATGTGCAGCTGCGGCATCAGCGCGGTGCTCTTCGTGTAGTTGAATGTGCCGTGGCACGCGATGCGCACCGGGCGACGCGGCTTGCCTTCCGAGGTGCGGTACAGCATGTACGGGTTCCAGCTCAGACTGCACTGGTCAAAGCAGCGGATGACGTCCTCGTAGGCAATGCAGAAGCAGCCCATCTCTTCTTGCTCTCGGGTGAGGTTGAAGCCTTTGCGGACCTCCATACTGATGTCGCTCGTGTCGTGCTTGCCAAACTTGCCGAGCCATTCCTGCTTGCCCCACGGGTTGCGCAGCAGCAATACACGCTCCTTATCGATGTGTTGCATGTCCAGCACCGCGTAGGCGTGGCCGGTAGCAAGACCCAGCTTCACATCCGCTGGCGGCATGTCGGACGGGGTGCTGACGGTGAAGAGCAGCGCGCCGGAGTTGAAGTTCTGGTAGAGGCGCGTCCACTGGAACTCCTCGTCAAACTCCGGCTTGCCGAACAGCGTGGAGTCCGGCAACCACCCGCTCAGCTTGTACAGGTCCGTGTAGCTCACGCTGCCGGGAAAGTCGTAGGTGCCGCCGCAGATCTTCACAAACGCCTTCTCCATCAGCGACACCCACAACTCGCTGGGGTCTGTGCTGCTGGTGCAGAGGAAGTGCTTTGAGTGCGTGCGAACAGGGAGACGGTCGTCGATGGTAACGATGCGGGTAATGCCGTTGACGAGCATCTTCACGCAATACTTACCCTTTGGGTTAATGATCGGGTTGCCGTCGCGGTCCTGCGGGTAGATGACGTTGCTAATGATTTTCGCGTTCGGGAAGCGCTTTTGATAGCTGGCGCAGATCATCAAGCTGCACACGAGCGAGCAGTCGCCAATAACGCTCTGTTGGATGTGCAGCGGGTCGGCATCGCGCACGATGGTGTACTCGAGGCCCTGCTGCTGGTAATCGCCGAAGTGCATCAGTTTCGCACCGGCAGTTATCTGCTTCCGGCACAGCTTCGGCGTAAAGGCGTCCTCCCAGACGCCCTCGCAGGGCATGAAGATGTTCTCGGCGCCGTAGCCCTCCTGCAAATCGTCCCAGAGAGGCAGCAAAATCGTGCTCGTAATGCCGCTCTTGCGCAGCAGCTCCATCTCTGCCGGCAGAATCGGGTTGTCCTGTAAGAAGCGTGGCGGGTAGCGGTCGTAGTACTTCTGCCGCATGAACTTCAGCGTCTCTGCGATCTCCTTGAAGTTGCCGGGGTTGTTGCGTTCTCGGCTGCCCTGTGTGTAGGCGTACTGCAGTACATCGACGGCCCGCTTCAGCTCCCCTTGTCGACTGAGGGCGATGGCGACCTCGATAGCCTTGTAAACCATCTCGGAGGTGCGGGGGGCAAAGTGGGCAGCCGCACCGAAAGGCTTCGGTGGTGGAGGCGGAGGTGGAAGACCGCCACCGCCACCAGAGGGGGGCGGGGTCCCCGGTGATCCGCCTGGCTTCCCTCCACTCTTGTTGGAGTCAGCCGGTGGAGGACGGGGAGAAGCAGGCATGGCAATGCCCGGCCCTGGAGAGGCGGACGCCGATGGACCAGATCGCCCAGATGATGCCGAGACGGTCGGCTTACTGGCGCTGTTGTCGCTGCTGCGGCTGCTTCCGTGACTGTTCGAAGCACCCGGATCAGCTGCGCTAATTTTGATCGCACCCAGCACAGCGAGGTCGTTGTCGATCCCGTTCGGTGGCGATGACATCAGCGGCGGTGGTGATCGCCCGCTGTCGCTCACGTCCTGCGGAGAGGCTGGGATCGACGCGTGACGACCCGGCGAGCCCGCAGGTGACGTCACGTTTGAGTCGGGCGGATGGCCGGCGTTGGGGAAGGCAGCGGCGTGTGCGACCTGTGCGTTGCGGTTTAACGCGCGCAGTCGCTGAATCCGCTTAGCGACGTCGCTCATGTAGTTCATCAGTGACTGTCGCTCCGCATCCGACATGTTGAGGTCCTGCAGAGCTTGGCGAAAGACAAAGATCGCTTTCGTGTAGCACTCTTCGGCTTCCACGTAGCGGCCGTTCGTGTCCAGTTGAACGGCGTTCTGCATCCACATCGTGGCCTCAGCGGAAAAAGAGGAGGGCATCTTCGTATGAATATGTTTTCTTCCTCCCGAGGTGATTTCCTGTTTTTTACAGGGCGAATCGAAATAATACCGGCACAAAGCAAGAGTGAACGGCGACAAATGAAAGGACAGCCGTGAGCAGTGCGACGTAGAAGGAGCAAAGTAGCAGAACCAGAGAAGGAGAGGCGTATGAGCTCCACAGCGATGTATTTTTAAAATGAATGATGTAGCTCAAATTGCCGCTGGCAGTCTCGATCGAGGTCTTGAAATCTCTTTCAGGTAAAACATACAAAAGAAAAGACGTGCTCCTCCTCGTCTCCTGCGTGTTCAGTTGGAGATGAAGAAATAAGGAGAAAATAATAATAATAACCGCCAGATCCGTTGTTTGTTGAACCTCAAGTTCTTTCCGCTTTACTCTTGGAGGAGCCCTAGTTTAACAAGAGAGGGAGAAAGGTGATAAAGGGACAAAAGAAGCGTAGCGGCAAACGAATCAAGAGAAGAGCGCTATATATATATTTATATGAAACGCAAAAGAGAAACAAAGAAAAGCAATCAAAAGCTATACACTTATACATACATATATAAAGAGAAAGAGAGAGAGGTAAAGAAGACAAAAGGGGAGTTGAACGGATGAGAACTGCTCAGCAAAATTATAGTTAAAAAAAAAAGGAGTTGAGGGTTTTCAATCAGGCCCCTTTCTGCAGCAAGAGGAAAAAAAAAAGACGGCAAGAGAAATAAGAAGGATGCTAATGGGCGATACCAAGCAAACCTTGAGCTGTAACACTAGACAATCTGCAGTCGGCCAATTCATTAAAAGGAAACAGAAACAAAACACGATGGAAAGCGGAAAAGTACGTTAGGCAGTGAGAGACGGTTTCATAAGAGCGAGGAAATGACAACGGGAAGGCATCAAGGCAATTATTCGCCATTTCGCCTCTCTTGCTCACCGGTCAAATCCGCTAATGAGCGTCTACTTCTTCATTTAGCATCCGTTTGTATCGCACCGGTTCAGCTGGCAGGCCGAGTGGCACGCTGTTTTGGTGGGCAAACCCACTCAAAACACTGAGCTAGGTCGGGAATGACAAAAAGTTCTTTCTTTCCTTCTTTTCTTTTCACAATAAATTGAAAATGCAGAGCTGTCTCGATCGGTGCTGTCCAGCAACAGCGTAGTCAACCGGCAACAGTGAACAGGAGAAATAAACCTCCGTCAGCAGCACTTGGCGAACGCGACACAAAGGCGGAGAATAAAGAAGAAAGAAAACAACAGCTTTGGAAAAAGAAACGTCAAACAGCAACTGCATCGGCACCCCCTCCCGCCCGAAAAAAAAAGGAGGTCCATCTGATTTGGGTGCGGTCCATCCTTGTCGACTATGTTCCCATGTTGGCAAAACGAATAGGAAACGAAATAAGGGGGAGGGGGGGGAGAACGGCTTCATGCGAAAAGCGAGACGGCCATGCCACTACTGCTGGCGCTGCTGCTGCTATCGACATCGCTGGAGGCATTGGCAGACATATTCGCCGCAAAAATGCCCCATTGAAACGTGTCCTGGAAGGGCGCGATGACCCACAGCGCGCTGGACGCTGGAAGTAGCAGCAGCAGCCCCAGCGTGACGGCAAGAAAGACGGCAGCTCCGCTCAGACTGTACAACTTCGCACGCTCGACATACCAGCGGATGGCGTCGCTCTCGTGCTGATAGTGGCGAAAGAAAATGTACAGCAGTCCCCACAGCCAAGGTAAACCGAAAAAGCCGATCCGATAGTACCACTGGCAGACCGTTTCGGCCTTCTCTAGTGTGAAAGGGCCGCGGACGAGCATTGCGACACAACCTAGAAGAAGCACGACGCACTGAAGTTGCTTGAGTGTTGTTCGACCTTCGTGGTATGCTTTTGCGATATTATTTAATAACGTGTGTGCGTGTGTTTAAGAGGAGACGACCAGGTAAAGCGGAAGAATTCACTGCAAGCGTGCGAGTCAACGACACGGTGCAGGGGGGCAGTGCACCAGAGTGAAGCTCCTTTAAGTAAGATCCACGCATATCTTTCCTCTTATAATCCTTGTCAAATAAGGTTGCGCAACCCCACGAACCAAGGAGGTAGCCGTCACGGTAACCTTTGTGGTCGCAGTGGAGAATGCAAAGAAGGCGGGTTTCTTAAGACTTTTTCTTTCGCCTTTGAAGCGGTGGAGAGTCGTAGTGTAGAATTACAAGCAAAAGGAAAAGAAAGAAACAATCGCAGCAGATCTTATTCGCTTGTTGCGCCTGCCGGCACGAAACGCATGACCAGCGTCAGCCGCCGCGTCAGTACGGCGATATCATAATGGATCCGCTTCGCTTCACCTGACGCACGACACTCAGCCGCTGATCCCCGCTGAGCAGGGCGCGACGTGGACGTGCGTTCGACGCGGACGCGGCTTCCGCGGCAGATGGGCTGTCCTTTTCATTTCTCTTCTCCTCCCCCTCGTCGTGCACCGGTTCTTCAGTACCTTTACCTCGCTTTCCTCTCCCTGCAGTCTTCCGCTGGGGGGCCACCATTGCAGCGGGGGCGTCTTTTTTTCTCGTGGCTTTCAACTCGGTTCGAGCACGCGCGTCGGTGCTCCGCTGCGCCGAGGACGTCGGTGCCTCCGTTGCAGCGCCGTCGGTCGTAGAAGGTGCGGCGGGCCGCTTCAGCCACGGCTCCTGAAATGGCGAGGCACCTGTCAATCCGAACCTCGCGGCGGATGCAGACGTGGTAGAGGAGCCTTCTCCTGCCGTCTCGACCAGAAACGACTCCACGATTTCCTCATCCGTGCGATCCATCAACCACGCCGCAAGGTAATTCGCACACAGCTCCACCAGCGACTGCGTGCCCAGAAAATCTGCAACGGAGATGAGTTCCAGCAGACGACGCTGCTGCGACGCGGTGAGAAGTACCGCAGATGCTGTCGACGGCAACGATGGCACAGTTTGATCGGCAGCTGTACAGCGATTTGCACGAGCTGCGCCATGGCTGCGGCGCCACTCATGGGGCAGGAGCACGCGTTCCACAAAAAATACTCCCTCTCGCGCGTCCAACGCAAGGTACGCGCCGTAGCCGGGTCCCTGCCCAACCGAGCGTGGGCCAGACCCACCTGCAATGTCCCGATGCGCCTCCGCCCTGTAAGCAGCCAACGACGTCTCCGAGACTGACGAGGAGGAGGACGAACGCGACGAAGAGGAAGAGGAAGAAGAGAGGAGGAGTGGAGGCGGACGTTGCAGGCGCACGTCCTCTGCGTCCACATACGTGCTTGCAGCCGGTTCGTTGGCATTCTCTGAAGTATATACCCCACTGGCGGCAACACCTACGGCTAAACCGTGATTCGCATCGCCTCGTGTCCGCTCCCCACGACCGTCGAAGCCGGCGTCCTCCTGATCCGCAGGTGTGGCACCACCGCGGAACGCCGACAGCGATTCCACGGTGAGCCGGCCCCGCAGCTCCTGTGCGTGTTGGGCGTACGTACGGTCACAATCGAGGGGCTTCACTTCGTACCCGACAGGTTCGCTACCCTCCCCACAACTCAGGTGCATCTCGCCGGCAATGCTGTCAAGGATCGAGCTGCTCAGTAGACTCTCTTCCCGTAGAAACGGTGCGAGCCACTCGTCGTCCGTCGCACGGCGAGCCCCGGTCTGCTGCTGCTGTTGCTGTCGGAGGTTAGAAACGCTGGTGTGGTTGTCCTGGCCTGCAGCAGCGTGCGTTTGCCGCCGCACCTCCGCACTTGACGATGCAGTTGTGGGGGAGACGACTAAAGAGCCACGATTTTCTTTGTTGCTTGTGGGTCTGTCACGCCCTTTTTCGAGCTCTGCTGACAGCTGCGCACGTAAGTCTAAATACTGCAGGTACGAGACGTAGTCGCGCACCGCCTGCGCCGAGCCCACCGGCACAGCACCTTCTGCTGCCCCCACTTCCTTGGCGGTTTGAAGATACAAGGAGCGTGTACACATGTACGGTGTGAGCGCAAACGTGTAGGCCACCTCATCTGCCGATATGAGCGTGAAGAAAGGTGGATCGGTAGTGGTGGTGGTGCTGCGGTCCGCGGCGGCCGCGTCTACAGAAAGTGAAGGCAGAGCATTAGAGTTAGGATGACGGCTAATCATGTAACTTCAGTTAATCTTCTTTTGTCGTTGTTGTCGGTAAGTGTACACTGTGAGTGCCGCAAAGGCCTTCTCAAATACTGCACTCAAAACATAGAATGTTGAACTAGAGCTTTTCTTAAGTGCGAACTCAAGCACGGAAGAACGCTTTATAGTTGTGAATAAGATGCGACGAGCACGCAGCGAATAAACAGGAGCAGGTACGAAAGCTTCACGGGCATAGGCGCGTCATGGAGCAGACAAAGAAGAAATTGCACTTCTTCGTTGGGGCAACGATGTAGAAAGAAAGCAAAAGACAAAGGTTTGAAGAAGAAGAGAGAGGCTTTGTCGGATGCTTGCTAGTCAGAGGAAGAAGCGCGAATTCGCGATAACGACAACGCGGAACTCCGCAACCATTGCCGTTGCATGAGCTACTACTTTTTTTTCCTCCTGCATGTGGCATCAATTCTGTGCTTCGTCTTTCGTGCAGTCCGAAAAAGAACAAAGAAAAAGGAAAGAGAAGCACCGTGTGGAGGGAACCGCTTCGCAACGACGTTGTCTCGATCACCTTTTCAAGAAGAAAAGCGGTTCTCCTCACTGAGAATGCTGCTGTGGTGAAGCAGCCAATTAGTTGCTCATCCTTGTGTACCCTTTGTTTGTTCTTATCGTAGTCGTTGTTTGGCCCTATTTTTTTTTACTTTCGCTGGAACTGTTTCCATTAGCCAATCACAGAAGAAATAGAAAAGAGAGTTGCGCAGCCACGTCAGCGTACGGCCGCTGAGCACGAAACCAGTAGTAGTAGACGTAGCCTCACATACAATACTGTTTCACGGCCCTTTCACGGTCACCTAAAAAAAAAAATGTGCCTCTCCAGCTTCCTTCCCTCGTCCTATTTTGCAGCTGTCGGAGACAAGAGAAAAACGACCGTGAGAAAGAAAGAAAAGGGAGAGCGCAAATCAATAAAATGAGAGACGAAGTCAGCGACGACAGAGTTAAAAGTCGATTACAACAAAAGTTCAAGAGATAAGAAATACTAGAAGAAGAAAAGAAGAAGAAAAGACACGCACGAGAGGATGACCGCCGATGATTACCTTTGTGTGTATGTGTTTTGGTTTGTCAACAACAACAACGGCAAAGGGGAAATGAGAAGCAGCGCAGCGATCGTCGAGTGTGATAGGCGAAGAAGATATTTTTAAAAAAGCGGAAAAGGGAATCTACGCGCTCAGCTGTTTACTTACTCTGTTTTTGTTCTTGTTTTTGTTTGTTTGCTGGTTTTTTTCTTTTCGCTCCCCGTTACTCACCCAACGTTAACATCACACGAAACGATATTTCAAGAAAAGATATCATCGACAAGGCAGGGACTTCTGTGGCGCTACCGTTTAGAGTTCCATCAGCGCGATGAACGCACACTCCACAAAAACAGGTCGGAGAAAATGTACGAGACGAAGCTAGAAGGAAGAAAATAGAAAGAAGGAGAAAAAGAGAAGAGAAGAGAAGAGATGGTATCCGTAGACGGTAGAGAAAAAAAAAGAAAAATGACAATGAATTACAGAAAGGTTGGCAGGGACGCAAAGGGGAACAGTCAAATAATATATTACTTTTGTTTGTTGCTGTTATTGGTTTTCGCTCTCCCGTCGAGCTAACGATTCGTTTCTCTTCACGCAGTTAACAACAAAAAAGGGAAAAAAAGAGGAGAAATTATTCACAGCAAATCATTATGAAACAAACGAGAAGTAAATAATTCGAAAAAAGAGCAAGGGAGAACTCACCAATACGAAAGGAAACCCACAGTGGTCCAATTATATTCTTCAAAAATTAAGATAGGTAATTCCTCGTGGCACGGAAGAGAATACAAGCGAAAGTGAGAGGAGAAAGAATGCTGAAAAGTGGCGGTTGGAAGTAACCATAATAAAAAGAGATAAATCTGTAATACATATAGATATATATAATCGTAGAGAGAGAGAGAGAAAGAAAAGCCACCACTTCATTTTTTCTTTCTCACTTTCTGTTTAATTTTTTTTTTGGTTTAAACTCACATAACGAAAAGACACCATCTTTGTTCACACGCACTCACACAATCATATATATATATATATATAATCACACATTGTTCATCCAAATTTAAAAAGGTTCAAGGTCAAATTGGGAAGGGCGTTGCCAGTGTCTCTACTGGTTCATATGAGGTTGCTGCGCGCCAAGCAGCTCAAGGTGCATTTCACAGACTCTTTATCGAAGGCAAAAGACCTAGGAGGAAAAAATGGAGAAGGAGATCAACAATACGACTCCCTAAAAAAAAAAGGGAGGGGGAGTTCATTTCCGGCTTAAGAACTATCGCCACACAATTTGTCAGATCCGACGGCGGAAGAGCAGGAAACAGCGGAGGGGCAACAGCAGAGAACGTGCTGGCTTCGCCCGGCCAACGTCCCCTACGAGACACCGATGGCCTGCTGAATCTTGTGTACCCACATCTCCGCCTTTTCTGGTGGCAGTGCCTGGAACCACATCGTCTTCGAGTCCGTTAAATTAATCGCAAACACGCCCGGGGAGCACGCTGTGTGCTCCGGCACAAAGACCACGCTGTTGATGAAGGTGACTGGCAGCGGCTTCGTCTCCTTATCGCCCTTGCGCCGACTAATGACAAGGCCCCCGTCGCGCAGGACGAGGAAGCGCTCCTTCCACGTATTCGTGCTCTCCTTACGGACATACCCCTCATAGAAGACCGACGTGGAAATGGTGCCGACGTGACCGACAAAGGTGAACGCCTCTGGGTCGTTCGCATTGGTCTGCCGAATCTCCGCCACGTTCTCGTGGATCTTCTTCTTGAGGGTTTCGCTTACCAGCTGAGAGTTGTCCACGCTGGTCTCGAAATCAGAGAGCAGCTTCACCATGTGTGGCAGCTTGAAGAGCTGCGCGCACGACGGCCGGCGGTTCGGGTCGGCCTGCAGCATTATATTGCACAGCTCCTTCAGCTGACTACTGTATTGCGCCGGTAGCTCGCAGTCGCGCTTGTTCGTCATGACGGCCTCCGACAGTGCCCGCATGCCTTGCCCCACAAACGGGCGGCGCAGCGCCATCATCTCAAACAAGAGAATTCCCATCGCCCACACGTCCGCCTTCTTGCTGTACTTTTGGTGGTTCCACAGCTCCGGAGCGAGGTAATAGGGCGTGCCACAGAAGGTGACCGCCACTGGGCTGCTCACGGTGTTCTCGTACTGGTGGCTGAAGCCGAAGTCGCCAAGTTTGATCACACCGTTCGTCATCAACATGACGTTCGCGCCTTTGATGTCGCGGTGCAGCATACGGCGACGGTGGACGTGATCGACGGCCATGGCCAGCTGCACAAAGGTGTAGCCGACCTCGTGCTCCTCGAAGTGCACGTACCCATCCTTCGCACGCTGTTTAATCTGCATGTTCAGGTCACCCGCATCGGCAAACTCCATAATGATCAGCATGTACGGCTCCATAATGAAGTCCTCGTAGTACTTGATGACGGCGAAGTGATCGCACGAGGCCAGGCACTGTATTTCGGCCGTGGCGTACTTCTTATCCTTCTCCGACATCGCCGCCAGATCCATGCGCTTGGCCACGAGCAGCTGGCCGTCCGAGACACGGCGGACGAGAAGGGCCTTTCCAAAGGAGCCGGAGCCGAGCTCCCGTACTCGCTCGTACTTGCACGTGGTGCAGCCCGCGGGGCCGAGGATGTCCTTGAACTGCGTGTCTACCTCGGCGTCGTTCGTCTGCTGCGTCGACATTGGGATTACGGCCGCCATGGTGGAGCTGTGGTCTGCTTTCAGAAAAGGTGTTAACAAATATATATATATATATATATATATATATA